CATGCAGGTCTGGTACTAACCACATCAGATTTTTGACTGAATATTCCATGACAAAGACTTTCAATTGCCATCCACTTAACTGGAAGTTTAACATTTTTTGACGATTCGCTTTCATCAGTAAACTGATTGAAATAGCATTCCATGTAAATATCTTCTGTTAGACCAAAATTAGCAATCTTGATGATACCATTTTCATCAATCCTATAATAATAATAATGATAATGATAATAGTAATAATAATGCATTGATTCCAATCCTTACATGCAATTTCTTGCAGCAAGGTCACGATGGACAAAATGTTGTGAAGCCAGATAGAACATTCCTTTAGCAACTTGTAAACATATGCAGAGTAACTGTTTCCTAACATTAAGTACAGCATCTTTATCACTGATATCTGTCACTGTGAGATTAGGTCTTTCTTTTTCCAAGTAAGACAATAAACTTCCTCTTGACATGAAAGGCATGATAATGCATGGAGCTGGTCCTAGATCAAGACTCACACCAAAGAGTGGTAGTATATTTGGATCATCAAAATTTGACATAGTAATACACTCTTCAACAAAAGAATGAATGTCACTCTTTGAAAAAAGCCCTATATACATGAATAACTAGAAGATATCTTATGGTATTAAAATACCTTTCAGCGTTTTGATAGCAACAACTTGTGGCATCTCATCACTTTTTAATGTCATTAATGCTCTATAGACAATTCCAAACTCACCTATAATGTAAAAAATAATTTTTATTATACCATTATCTATATAGCTGACCTTGGCCTGTGACCTCTAGCACTTGAATTTGTGAGGCTGGTATTAAATATTTAACTAACAACTGTTCCATTTCTGAAGGTTGATTGCTTATCAACACACTTGTATTCTCTTGAAGGACCATAGTATCTGCTATGGAATGTAAATCTAAGATATATTTTAACATAGATATTAGAGTAAACACTGTTTAGTATTGTGTGTGAGTTTTGTTTGCATAAATGGCATCCTCTTGGATTTATTCAAGAATAAAGCACGAAAATCTGTTTTTTGCTCCAAAATCTGTCAAAAAATCCCAACCCTCCTCTGTTTACTTAGCAACAATACAAATGAATGGAGGTTTGCCTACGCCCACACTTCCGTTTCCAATCCCTTTCATTTACTCTATTATCTATGATTTTAACAAATAAACAAACCTCTGCTATTTGAATCTACTGGTATATCTAATTTTACAGCAATTGACTTCGATTTTTTCCGTTTACTCACAAAATATACAACTGTTCCTATTAAAATTATTACCAGTATCATGACAACTATTATTGCAACTATAATTGTTATGCTTTGTGATGAAACTGATGAACTGGAAGTGTTTGTTGGCGATACGGGGTCATGAGATGAGCCTATTAAAACAGAGTCTGATAATGATGTTTACTATAGCATTATGATGATGATAGCTGTCAAGCCAATAATATTTGTTACAAAAGTACCGAAACAAAAGTATTACTAATAATTACTAATGAATGGTAAACTGCTAACTGTTGATTCCATGTAAAAATCAGCACTAATGATGACAAAAGGACTTAGAATGTATGTACATGTAAGTGCATTCAAAAATGCTACTTGAAATTAGATATAGTATACTTGATGGAGTGGGTGACATAAAGTGAGTTGAGGAGATATATAGAAAACTAGTAACATAAGTACTACTGATCACTGGATCTATAGTAGAAGTATAATGTATGATGAACTAAGTAAAGGTTATACAAGGAGGTGAGGTATTTATGGCATTTATCATATCATAGATACAGTATACTGTATCTATGATCATACCAAGGGCCGTAACCGGAGGTATGATAAGGCCTTCTACCATGCCTAGTTGCAATTGACAAAATCAGATTGCTTGATTTTAGGTTCATAAATAACTGATTTACCACTAGGAGGTTTAATAAGTAAATTTCTGGGTAATCAGAGGTTAAAAGTAAGTTCCCAGACAGTTAGAGGTTCATAAGTACCCCGGGAATTTACAAATAGACAGCCTATTGCTAAGTGTTGCTATGTAAATTAGTTGTTTATATTTAGCATTATGGTAGAAGTTGGTTATACAACTCTGTGTCAGTATCTATGGCTTTATCATACCTCCACCTCACTGTATATATAACATTTAAATAGTTAACTAACTGTCATTGTCTTCAATGGCTATAGTTGTCCTATCAATTTCAAATGGCATAGCATCAACAACAGTTTCAATGACAACATCAAAGTATTCTGTTTCTTCAGTTACTCCATCATTAATTATAGTAATAAAGAATGTCTTTACAGTTTCTCTAGCAGAAAATGCTATCGTCTGATTTACTGGTATATAGTCAGAATTTTCTAAATTAAATAAATTTAATTGGAACTTGATAAATAATTTTTATTTTACCATTAGCAGGACTAGTGGTAGTTGCACTACTCTTTGTTTTAACTGTCACAGTTACAACTTCTGACAGACGATTAGACCTTTCAATGTAAAGGAGAACTTGACCATTGCTTTCAGTAGTAAAGTAACTGGAAGAGTTAAATGTTACAAACAGCAACGGCTTCAAATCTGTTCCAGTTAAATATCCATATCCACCACTAGGTGCAAATCCATAAGCACTGACATATATCCTGCCATTAGGATGACTGTGACTGATAGTAGAAGATCCATCGGCTGGAGTATTGTATCCATATCCAGTGATAACTCCATTAGTATCTCTGATTGGTGTCCAGTTTAATGTGGTAAGGCTGCCATTAATGATTACAGTACCATTGTAATAGGAATCAGCAGGTACTGCTATACTATAGAAATTGTTTGGCATAGCAGGTAGTGTAGTGAATGTAACAGAGTGAGGATACTGACTGATGG